AATATATAAAATTACCCTAAAATATTGAAATTACAAGAAATCATATTTAAGTGAAAATACATAACCCGGATTTTCGATAAATTGAGAAGATAAAGATGAATCTTGAATTTCTTCAATGGTTTCTTGATAAATCTCCACTTGCATCTTCTCTTCTTTGCCCAGAAATTAGGTTTGAATCATCACTTGATTGAATTCTTGCAAATCTTCTTCAATTTCCTCACAAAAACTATGAACTCTCTTCCTTTGATGATAATAATTGATGAATAATGGAGTAGAATCTGTGCATTAGAGCCCCTCAATATATATTCTGTTTTTCTGTATTTGTAGGAGTCGAAAATTGGTTGAAAATCATGTCCAATGTAGTTTCCAAAAGAGTTCTAATCGAATAAGGAATGTTTCATTCGCTCGCGGATTTTTTTCTCTGCATAGTTGTCAGTATTTTGGCCATAAATTTCTCTCATAATATCCGATTGAGATAATTCAAAGTGTGTTGGATAGATAACTCGAAGGTCTACAACTTTGATTGAAATAGAGTTTTTCCAATTCGGACGTTTACTATGCCAGAAATGGGTCTCAATCTTCGACTAAAAATTTGGAATATAATTTGTGCGATTGGACTTTGATTGTGATCATATTCCATTCCTTTTTGAGTTCTAATTCCATTCAATTGTCTCCTAGCAATCTTCAAACTCATCTTTTGGTTCGAATCAACTATTGAATATTTTCAATTTGATCCTCAAACTTTAGATTTTGCCATTTTTCACCAATTTTTTTTTTCTTTCTTTCAATTCCTCGTTCAACAATTGAGTTTTACCTATATAACATAAAATACAACAATTTAGGATATATTTTGTCAAAAGTACTATCAAATATCGTTATTTTAGACCCCGAATAAGTGTATAAAATACACTTATCAGCAATCATTAACAGTTAATGCGCGCCCATAATCACGCCTAGGCTCGCATTATTGTCTTTTTTAAAAAAAATATATTTAAAGTTAAAATTTAAAGGTTAATTTTTTTCACTTTATCTGCCCTAAATTCAAAACAGCCACTTGAAGCATTGAACAAAGGAAAACTCCAAAAAATTTCAATCTATTTACTATTTACATTTGAAACTTGTCCTTTTGTGGAAAACTTTGAAAAAATATATAAAGTTCCTCTAAATTTATTTTAGATGTTTCGCAGATATTATTTTTAATTATTAAATAATTTTTTGATTTGAGTAAAAATTAAAATAAGAAAACGTCTTTTTACGCTTTTTACGTCTATGTCTCACCTCGCCTAGCCCATAGTTTGGCCTCCAGCATCGCCACGCATTACGCCTTTTAGAACACTGGTTTAGGCAAAAGACGCACGAACTTCTTGATCAATCGCATATTGAACCATCAAGTACTACTCTTTATTGCAGTACACCATGTTTAATGTCTACTTCGGTATCTTCGAGCTAAATACAAGGCCAGGAAGCCATGGGAAAGAAAAATCAATATAAAAAACCCAATTCCATAAAGAAAAATTCAGACCCCCAAAAAAATCTTCGATTACCCCTCAAATGCCCTTAGATAACATTTTCGAATTGAAAAATTTTCAACACGCTGGATCCATGGTTTTCTATAGCCACCAAACCTAGAACTTTAAGAAGATCGAGCATCCACTGTCGGCTTTATCTCTGGATTAGCCGGCAGAATAAAGCAGAAGAGCACTAAAGTTATGGTGGAAAGTTATCGCCGTGATACTGCACTTAAAAAATACCATGTGTGATTCACCACCTATATGAACTTCAGTCTCTCCATGCCTTTCAATATCAAAAGATACACAAGCAAGTGAACATCAATGTTTAATTTCTTGAATTACTTTTAATACCATAAAAGGTAATACATAACGTGTTAACTTAATAAGCCATACTGAATTTCATATCTTTTGAAAAAAATAAAATTTTTACAAGTAAATGTCAACTCATCTGATAGCATCATCCAGAAAAGGCATGATAATAAAGAAAGGAAGAATGTTCTAAACTTCTCGTCTTCTGCCTCACTGTGCAGCTGTCGGCACCTGCTCTCTTTCTCTCATCCGCCAGTCCGACTTCCGTCCTTACACCCTCACCGGCTCCGCAGTCTGCCACTGCTGGCGGTATATCGGCTCAGCTGAAGGTGGATGAACAAGAATTGAGATGGATGATGAAAGGATAACGTTATATAAAAATGAGTGATTAATCAGTAAACTTTCATTTTTGGATGAATAAGTAATAATCAAAGATAAACATTAAGGATATTCATTTAGCACTGTTTGAACCCCATTCTCGGAAAACTCCTTTTTCTCAAAATTCATTTTCAACCACATGTTCTTCCAATAAAATAATTGTACACCTAAACCAAAAACTTTTTTCTATTTTTTAGCCACATTCTCCAAAAAAAATATTATAACAAAATTCATTTTTACCAAAAAATTCATTTTGGGGCCAGAGGATATTTTTATCAACGAACAAAAACAGTCTCTAAATCAATTCAAACTCATACTGGTTGATTTGAAGAAAACTGAATGGAGAAGGAAAAGATAAGGCGGCGGAATTTAACCAAAAAACGACCAGGTTTTATGTTATCACCAGCAAAGGAAATTGTATTGCACCTGATTTGTGGGCTTGGTTTAGCTTCAGCTTTGTGGGCAGCTCAAATTTCTATTCGATTAATCTCCTTTCATATCCAGCTGAAACTGTATGTCTAATCTGGATTGTTGAAGCTTCAGTGGTAATCCTGCTGTACAGTCTGTTTTGGCACAATCCAGATAAATTTTCTGCCTATTTGACCTGTAGATTATATGATCTGCTTGCCTGCACACGGAGCAGGAGTTTGGTTTCGTGCGTGGCCTATACCTCTTGATTGGGAAAGGTCCTTGCAGGAATGGCCAATTTCTGTGACTTATGGAGCTATTGTTGGCTACATGACCGGAATGATGATGTCGTTTGTATTTGTTGTCTTCAAAAACTGGCGACGTCATGTGAAAGGAGAATAGTTTTAAACTGATGTTCCAAGAGTTACGATGTGGATTACCTGACCAGATTCCGTGTTGATCGTGTTTTGAAGAGTGTTCTACGTCTCTCACTGAGGACCAATGATGACCTTGTAGAATTTCGGACAGGTGCAAGTTTTTATGGATTCCTAACCAGTTTTAGCAATGATTCACAAGAAGATTTTGAGAAAAAAAAAGAAAAAAAAAAAGGAAAAAGGAATAATGTTATGCGTAAATAACTAAAAAATAGCATAAATCACCAACCTGCAGCTACACAGTTTGTATGCTTTCTTGATATCGAGTCGAAAGTGCCTAATTCACATGTGCAATAAGTCCAGTCTCAGTACTATCCGCAAGATAGCAGTTTTGAGAACCAAAAAC